ATTTCGAGAACAAAAGCCCTCTCATGTTTTCAGCCTGCCTCCTATGAAGTGCTTGTCCAGCCTGGAGCTGGGATGCAGTGTTGTAAGTGGGTGAGCATATTTACACTGAGATTTAGGAATGATCATGCTTTCTCTTTCTCAGCACTCCTGTCTCTCCATTACTTATGTCTTGTTCCCAGAAAAGCCATGAAACTCCAGATCATACTTTATTGGAAGACTGGTAAAAGCAGAGGTGGTCTGCTCACTGGCTATGTTCTTAATGGTTAATACTGTGTTTGGCACATAGTAGGTACTCAATAAGAGGTTAGCTGAGACTCTTTGACAAGCCCCCCCCCCCACACACACACACCTGAGGGAGGAGCAGCCTTGCCAGGCCACAGAGGAGGACATTGCAGCCAGTCCTGATGAGACCTGATAAGCTAGGGTCAGATGGAAGGGGAGGACGACCTCCCCTATCAGTGGTCTTGGAAAGGGGCAGGGAGGAGATGAGGGAGGAAGGGTGGGATTGGGAGACAATGTGGAAGGGGGCTACAGCTGGGATACAAAGTGAATAAACTGTAATTAATATAAAAAATAAAATTTAATTAAAAAAAGAAAAAAGTTAGCTGAGTTGAAAGGAAATAATTTATAGAGAAATAGCAAACTTTTACAATCAAGTAAAATGATCAACTAATACTTTTTTTTTTTCTTGATTTGTTTAGGAATCCCGCAGTTCTTTCTTTGGCTGTAGCTAGAGAGAGTTCCAGAAGTTGAAAGAATTAGAATATTCCCAGCAGCAGTTAGAAGTGGGAATAGGGTAGTAGAAATAAACCATTAAGAAGTGGTGGGCTTAGGTGCTGAGGATCATTGAGTGCAGGAGCAGTTCACTCTCAGGTCTCCAGTGTTGCCCCAGGGACGGGTCAGGAGAGGGTAGGCCCCTCTGAGCTTGTCAGTGCTCAGTGGACCCCAGGGACAAACAGCGCACATAATAAAGCGCTGTGCAGGTGAGCAGCCCTAAGCTCCATTGGCTGAAAGAAGTATTTTAATATCTGCTGCATTTTCACCCAAAGTGGCTAAACATTTTAACATTTTAACACTAACAAATTCTTTTTTTTTTTTTTTTTTTTACTTAAAACATGTTTCTTACGAGTGTGAGGTAAATATTCATGTGTACATACATAACCAAGTTGATAACCTGGTCCTTTAACCATGTTACGAACATAAACCAAACAGGCAAAGCTTGGAAAGTAATGGATGTGTTTTAAATAAAAGCCGCTTATCTCATTTTGCATCTGTCTCCTAACCCTAGCAATCATGTAACCCTTTTAAAAAATATGTTAATTTTGTGTGTGGGTGTTGTGCCAGCAAGTGTGTCTGTGCACCATGTGTGTATGGTGCCTGTGGAGGTCTCAAGAGGGCGTCTGATGCCCTGGCACTGGTCATGGTTATGAGCTGCTAAATGGGTGCTGGGAATCAAATCTGGGTCCTCTGCAAGAACAGCCAGTCTCTTAACCACCAAGCCATGTGTCCAGGCCTGTAAATGCTGTTTTAAAGTAATGTAGGTGGTAATTGTTCTTGTTCTTTTTTGTTGTTCTTGTTGTTCTTGTTCTTTTCCTCTTCCTCCTTCGTAGTATCTTTTACAAAAGGGATTTTAAAAAGTAAATCTTGCCAGGAAGAAGCTCAGAATCCCCTGCACCTCTTTTCTCTCATCCCTCTTCCCATTTCTTACTGTTCTGATCTAAGAACTGCTCCCAACACTTACTCTGAAAAGGAAGTTGATTTTTTTTTTGTTGTTTGTTTGTGTTTTGAATAAGCTTACAGTGAAGAGAAAAGATGGCTAATACACACCTGATGTCCCTGTGGCTGAGCATGGCTGACTTGGGTGAAAGTGTGGGGTAGCTAAGAGTTTCAGTCAGCATGTAATTAGGGCCCTTGCTTGTGGAAAGGTGGAACACAATTCTGTTGTGTCACTTCCTTTTCTGCCTAAGTCTGGGCATCAAAGTGTCTGTCCCTCCATCCAGACAGGAGTCCTATGTGCTTTTGGTGCTCAGTCACCCAGGTTAATTTATTAAGACAGCATGCTGACTTAGAGCCGTTCAGTGGATTTTTGTAAGGTGTGGGAAATCAACCATTTTCATTTCTTTTCCCATTTACTCAGAATTAATTGTTTCAGCTTTCAGAATTAACTTCATGAAGTGTGGAACTTAAAGTTAACTCTTGCATATAGAGCAGAGTGATCAGTAAAAGTGATTTAGATGGATTTTTTTTTCTTCATTTTGCTCAGCTTAAAAAAAAAAAATCTTTCTCTGGAGAGATCTGCAGGCCACTACTTGGCTATGTAGCCCAGGCTGGCCTCCAGCTCCTCCTGCTGGGCCTATAAGTGCTAGGATTAGATCTGTGCCACCACTCAGTTTAAATGGAATTTTCCAAACCACTAGCCTTTATAGTAACTGGCACATATTATTTTATTCTTAGAAAAGTTTCTTAAGATTCTCATTAGATTCTTATGTTTCTCTGTTTGTAAACTGAATTAACTCTTAAGCTTTTACTATTTAAAGAAGTGGGTATGTGGGTGTAGATTGTGGAAGTTGAAGAAGAATCTTACTCTGTAGATCTGGCAGGCCACTACTTGGGTATGTAATAGGAAAATTTGTCTGTGTAATGATTGTCTTATAATTTACTGACTGTATACTCCTAGGTTTATCTGAGCTCCCAAATTTAGGCAATTAATTTATGAGACTTAAGCCCCACCTGGCAGTACCGATTAGAAGTTCATTGTGTGCTGTGTTTATGTGTGTGTGCTTGTGTGAGAGTACATGTACACCAGTGTATGCATTAGTGTAGAAACCAAAGGTTAACATTAGGTAGCTTGTCTTCCTCAATTGCCCTCCTCCTTATTTTTTGAGGTAGGATCTCTCACTGATTCTGGAGCTCAGTGATGTGGCAAGACTAGCTGGCCAGCAAACCCTGGGGATCTGTCTCTGCCTCCGCTGTGCTGGGATTACTGGGGTGTGGTGCCATGCCTGGCCTTTTTATGTGGGTTCTGGAGTATGGATCACAGGCCCTCGTGCTAGTTTGTCAAGCACTTTGCCAACTGAGCCATCTCTTTAGCCCCCCTAAAATCTGTGTGTGTGTGTGTGCATGTGTGTACATGTGTGTGTGTGCAGGCACATGCACACGTATGCATGTGGGTGCCCATGAGGGTCAGAAGAGGGCACATGCAGGTGGAAGCTACTTGAAGTGGGTGCTGGGAAGGGAGCTTCAGTTCTCTGCAACTCCAGTTCTCTTCTCCAGCCTCACACACCAGACTTCTTTTTATTTTTAATGAGTTATAGCTGTTTATTTTTAAAATTGTGACAAAATATAAAACAAAAATTATCATTTTAACCTACTTTTCAGGGTTCATTCATTCAGTCTACTGTTTGATTTTTAAAAGTCTTATTCCTACCACTATATACTTAATGAGGATCAGCTCTTGCCCTGTGCTGAGGTTGGTAGATCATTGGATAGTTATGAAAGAAGTAAAAATATGGCCCCTGCTCTCAGGATCCCTGTTCTTAATCTCAAGGGGATTAAGCCTTATTAGGGAAGCATGATGTATGTTCACCAGTCAGATAATGATTTGTGGCACAAAAGACCTGCAGTGTTGAAGGAAAGCTTTGTAAAAAAGTGACACTCAGCTTAATCAGGCTGCAAGAAGGGAGGAAGGGAGGAACTTGGGGAACTAAGGTTCTACTGTAGCTAGTTCAGTGTTCTGACCATTGTTTTCTGGAGAGCCTTGTTTTTCTAGATTAGAATATTTACATGTATTATTTATGAAATAAGATGAATATCTAACAGTTGTTCATGTTATTGACACATAATTTATATTTTTTAAGTCATAGAATCAATATTTAACTTGTGATATAAAGTTTTAAAAATCCAGATTATCATTGATGTACATGATGTTAAATTCACAGTGAACCAATAAGTAGTTCACAACAGGGACTGGAGAGATGGCTCAGTGGTTAAGAGCACTGACTGCTCTTCCAAAGGACCTGGATTCATTTCCCAGCATGCATATGGCAGCTCACAACTGTCTGTAATGTCAATTCTAAGGAATCTGACACCTTCACACTAATAGATAAAAAAAATTTTAAAAAAGTTCACAACAAAACAAACAAAACCCCCAGATTATCAGGGTTAGAGATGTAGCTCAGTGGTTAAGAACATTTGATGTTCTTGTAGAGGACCCAGCTTCCACCCCAGAACCTACATGGTGTCTCTCTACTCTTTGTAACTGTAGTTCCAGGGAATCCAGATTCCTTCTCCAGTCTCTAAAGGCGTCAAGCACACATAGGATGTACCTACATATTTGCAGACGGAACACTTACACATATAAAATAAAAACTTTTTTAGAGTCCAGATTGTCCAGTGGCAGCATTATAATTCTATGTAAATGTCTCTGTTCACAGAGCATTAACTCAATATGTTAGCATGTGAGAGTAGATATTTCATTAGTGAGTTTAGCTCAGTTGCAGTTAGAGTTTTCATGCCAAAGCATTCTATAAAAATCATGCAATGAAATACATATTTATTGAGACTTGACTGTCTGCTTCCCTGAAATCTGGTAAGGATTTGAGAGTGCCATGTATTGTGGGTTATGTATAATTCTGAGCATGTGCAGAAGCTGTAGTGACTAGTGGCAAAAATGATGCCTGTTCTGTTCTTTTTTTAAGATTTATTTATTTGTTTGTTTACTTATTATACAGTGTTCTGCCTGCAGATATGCCTGCTCGCCAGAAGAGGGCATCAGATCTCACTATAGATGGTTGTGAGCCACCATGTGGTTGCTGGGAATTGAACTCAGGACCCTTGGAAGAGCAGCCAGTGCTCTTAACCTCTGAGCCATCTCTCCAGCCCCCTGTTATCATACATCTATAGCAGGTCAGAAATTGCATCTGGACAACACAGGGCCTCACAACAAAGTCCATGAAGTTAAATATCTTTCTTCTTCCTCTTGTTTCTCCTTATTTTTGCAGGCAGGCAAGTGTACACTGGGGACCACCATGTTCACGTGACATTAAGAGGAAACGGAAACCTGTGGCCTCAGCATCTTTATCTAGCCCTAGTTCAGGTGACTATATACAGTTGTCATTTATAGAGCATCTTTTGTGTGCCAAACATTAAAATGTGTTTCATATACTTTTCTATGTAATCTTTGTGATAAGAAATCTCCGTTCCCATTTTACATAAGAAAACTGAGATGCTGAGAAGTAATTTTTCCAGTTTTCTCTGACAGTGGAGTGTGCTTTTTCATCCTGTCACTTGCTTTCTGTATTCCTCTGTCAGCTGTCCCCAGTCATCTGAACTTTGCTGTAGCACAGGCAGGAGCTGCTGTCCATGCCAGTGCACATCCAGCTGGGCAGCAGCGCGCTCACAGTCCACGATTACCTGCGTTCATGTACTTTCTTTTTCAAAAAATTACTTTTATTTTCTTTTTTGTATGTGAGTGTTTTGCCTGCATGCATTTCTGTATACCATGTGTGTGCCAGGTGGAGGCCAGAAAACAGTGCTGAATTTCCTAGGACTAGAGTTATAGATGATTATAAGCTACCATGTAGATGCTGGAAATTGAACCTGGGTCCTTTGAAGAGTAGGCAGTGCTCTTAACCACTGACCCATCTCTCTCTAGTCCCTGTTTGCTCTTTCTTTCTTTCTTTCTTTCTTTCTTTCTTTCTTTCTTTCTTTCTTTCTTTCCTTTCTTTCCTTTTCTTTCTTTTTTTCCTTTTCTTCCTTTCTTTTCTTTTCTTTTTTCGTTTCTTCCTTTCTTTCAGATACGGTCTCACTATATAGCTCTGGCTGTCCTGCAACTCACTATGTAGACTGTAGACCAGGCTAGACTTCAACATATGGAGACCTATGCCTCTGCCTCCCAAGTGCTGGGATTAAAGGTGTGTACCACTCTGCCTGGGCCTGTTTATTTTCTTAATTTGTGTATACAGTTCAGTGCATTCTCACTGGTTATATATAGTAGTGTGTCTATTTTTACTTATGAAATATCTAATTAAAATCATATTTTCAGTTAAACCTTTTTTGTTTCTATATAAAGCTTATGCCAGTTGGTAGAAGCCAAAATAGTGGCTGTCTTTGGTGGGAGAGTGCTCAAGAGAGGACATAGAGCCATCTGGGGCTCTGGAAATGTTCTACATTACAAACCAGACTGGGGTGACATGGGTGTTTATGTATGTAAATGTTTTTAAGCTGTACACTTAAGATATGTATACTTTACTATACACATATTATCAAGGATATTGAATATCAAGCCATTGTAAATTACTTTCCCTAAGATAAACTGCAGGTTCAACATTTTTAATTTAAAAATCCAAAATCTGAAGCAATTCAAAATATGAAAGCCGGTCATTAGTGGCACACTCCTTTAATCACAGCACTTGGAGGCAGAGGCAGGTGGATCTCAGAGTTTGAGCCAGCCTGGTCTACAAAGTGAGTTCTAGGACAACCAGGGCTATACAGAGAAACCCTGCTTTGAAATCTCCACCCCCACAAAAAGTGTGCCTCAAACTATGAAACTTTTGAGCACTTACATGTACATGTAAGTAGGATTCTCTACCTAACTTTGTATGATGGGCTGCAGTGAAAGCAAGCATAGTACAATAGCATATGTATGACCTTTCAGCTGTGAGCATAAGATGTGTGCTATAAACAGACCTAAACCCAAAGCACTTCTGTAGCCAAACAGATTATGAAGCTTATTTAACCTGTACTACATAGCACATATCTCAGGTCAGTTGAGAGCTGAAGTGAAGATGGAGAACAGACAAGTGTGCACTCCAGCACCTTGTCTTCACTGAGTGGCTTTTCTCACATTCTGAAGTGGATATCTTTGAGATTCTGTTAGGTGTGACTCCTAATCTGTGGCCCATCCTGAACAAATATCTCAGTCCTAATGATTACTGTGAATTTTTGTTGTGGTTTCCACTTGGCCAGGCCCTGAGCTAGGCGTTTTGTCTGCAGTAGTTCATTTAACTTCTGCCTCAGCTTTTCAGGATGGATGTAGTTCTTATTATTCCCTCTGGTACATGAGAAAACTGAGGTGTAATTCACCTTCTGGAGTTACAGGTCAGAGCAGACATGTCCCTGATGCTCTAGATTTGCCCTTTAAACACTCAGCTGTCTTTTGTGTATACAGTAGGATTATTCCAGACTGTAAAACTCAGCTTCTTGTCCCTTGTTCAAAGAATTTAAACCTTTCTTCTTAGCTTTTGTTCTCTCTCCCCCCTTTAATGCCCTGACCCTATTTTTTGCTTTTAATTCTCCTCCCTCCCAGTTCTGGGGATCAAACCTAGGCTCTCATTTCCATAGGCAGATGCTGTACTGCTGAGCCACAACCCCCGCCCAGCTCTAATGCTTTATGAGAACAGACCATTGGGAAGAGTTTATTCCACATTCAAAGCAGGAAATGTATTTAGGGTATTAAAGAAGATGTTAGCTCTGAGTGTTTTCCAAGGGAGCAAGCTCCTCTCCCCTCACTTGTTGACTAAGCCCTGCTTCACTGAGCACTTTCTTTCTTTTTCTTTTCTTTTCTTTTTTTCCCCTACTCACAACCTGAGTGCCCCATGGAGGTGAAGGACACAGCCTGAGCCTGCGCCATCAGTCAGGAGAACAAATGGGCTTGCTCTGCCTACCATCGGGCCATCTCGGATTCCACCTCTTTTATAGAAATGAGTGATGAAGAGAGGTGCGTCCTGCTTTGCCGCTGTATTAATACACATCAGGGGCCAGCTCCTGGCACTAAATCACACAACTGCATACATCTGTTATCAGCTCTTCACCAGTGTGATGAACAAGACTGCAGATAGAGGCTTCCTTGTGTCATTCTTTATAGGATTTTCCTAAAAGAATAAATAGCTCAGATCTCTGCCAACACTCTCCCCTGTCACTGTGATGAATTCAGCTTCTTTCTTAAGCATGCAGCTACAAATCTCTGCCCCTTCCCCCACCCGTAGAAAGTTTTGAGTTGAAATTGACTGAATTTAAAGATCTTAGTAAGGCTAGAAGAGTGAATACAGGCAGGGACACACAAGTCTTCCTTGTTTTGTGTTTGTTTTAATAGTACAAAGCTGGGGAAGGACTCTTTTAAGGGCCATTAAGTAGCTCCTTCTGGAACTAGAGTCCTGTTATTTTCCTCTTTTTTTCTTTGCTTCCCTCCCTTCCCTGGCTTTATAGCATGCAGAGGTTTAGTGCACAGCTGTGTCCTAGATCCTAGTAAGTGTGCAGATGTTTTCTAAAACTGGTACCTAGGACAGGAATCTGCCAAGTCTAGACTGCATGCTAAATCGAACTAGCTGTATTAGACACTTTAAAAATGGTTTGTTGTTGTTGTTGGTTGAGAAGATGAGTGTTTTCTTCAAAACTTAAGAATCAGTGGCTGTAAGAAATGTAAGGCATGCAGGCTTACACTGAATCAGGCTGCTTGAAGTGACTTTCTTCATCAGAGTCCTTGGCATTCAAACTCCTTCTTTACCTTCAAAAGATAAACTGGTATTTTTGAATAGGGGAATTGGGACCATTGGAGATTCTGTTCAGAACCTGGATAGTTTGGGCTATTCCTAGGGCCTTTTCCCAACCTTCCTTTTTTGTGGGATTATGAATATCACTGAGAAGTTGTTTAACAGATGACGTATTAGTTACTTGACCATCAAGCCAGCTGTGTGTACAGAAAGGTAGGAGGTTTTAATCTATTTGTTCCCTGCTATCCCCTAGCATCTGGCAAGACACCCAACACTACAGCAGACTCATTAGGTAGTATTTATGAGTAGGCCAGTGGTATCTTTTATTTTTATTAGCTTTTATGAAAGTAATGGTTGGCATTATGACATTTCATATGTATAGAAAATATACTTTGGCCATCTTCAATCCCCTGTTATCACATACTGCTCTTTCCTCCCACTGTTCCCTTTCCTGTATCTCTAAGTACTCCTTCTACTTTTATACATTCTGTTGTTTTAATTATTATTGTGCCATATATATAAATATAAACATATTTACACATACATATAAATGTATATATACATATTTATGTGCAACCTATTGAGTCCATTTAGTATTGTTCCTATGTGCATGTTTTTAGGACTGACCACTGGTATTGGATAACCACTTAAGGGTCTCATCCCTGGGGGAGACTGTTTTTCCCTCTCTCAGCAATCATTAATTTTGTGTATTTCTTCATCTAGGGCTGGGACTTTGTCTGAATTCCTCTGCTCATGTTGGCATGTCAGTTGTTACTGTTGTTGAGATCTTGTTTAGGTAGCCATATTGTTAGTCTTTTATGGGTGCAGCTTTACTCTCTTGTATAGAAGGCATAATCTCACAGCAGATGTCTTGGTCCTCCAGCTCTTGAAAACCTCCTTACCTCTGTCTTCTTGATATTCTCTGTGCCTTAGATGTAAGGGTTTTGTTGTGCACATCGAGATATCCCCAGCAATGCAGTAGTGGTGCTTGTATCTTAGGAGTAACCAGCAGCTGTTTGATTGGTCTTAAGACCTGGTCAATAGGAAGGAATTCGTGCCTGGTACTGTAAATGTAGCCATCTATACAACTGATAAGGTGGTGATACCAAGAGGAAACCTTCTGAGGCCATTTTCTTAAATCAGTATAATTTCTAACTGCATTCTTAATACTTACCCTTACGTGTAGCTCTCAAAGAAGGTCTTTTTTTGCAGTAGATAGAAACCATTACAGCTAGCCACAACTAAGTGATCAGAATGTGAGAGAACTGACCATAGGATGCTCTGCTCTAATCAATATATCTAAATTAATTATCTTAAAGTTGGAACAATGTTCTCCCTATTATTCTAACCCCTTGGCAAATATCTATTGCTATAAAAGAATATTGATAGTAGGTATATAAGGTGTAAAGAAAAACAGCGTAGCTAGAGTATATGTGTTATTCACCTTAAAAATCTTCCCACTTTCCTCAGCAGTAATGGTTTTCCTGCTTATTTGCTTTCTTTTGTTTTAACCATCACTTTTGTTTTTTTAAAGTAGTTTTAACAGGTAGATTTATTTATAAAGATATCTCTAAAGAATATGTTGTCTGGTTTTTAATGTTTCTGGACCTTGTACAAAAGAATTCATATTGACAAGTTTCCCCCAGTTCTGTTCCTGAGATTCAGACATGTTTTCTTGTGCAAAATTCTTTTGTTTCTGACTGCCACACACAGGGTATCCATTGTATGAGGAGGCCTGTGCCACAGCTCAGTGTTCTTGATGGCCGGTGGATTGTATCCTGTTTTATACCATTGTGAAAAACACTGTGTTCTGGGAGTGGATGCTACAGACATCCTTCTGGGTTACTTCACACTTATTCACTGGTGGTTTCAGAAACCAGACAATACTAGACCTTGGCAAAGACATGATCGAAACCCTTGAGCATTTCCGGTGGAATGTAAAATGGTATAGCCTATAGAAAACTGTAGTTTCTCAGAAGAATCCTCATTAAACTGTCATGAGATCTGCCAACTCTGCCTCTGGTTATATCAACTAAAGAACTAAAAACAAAATTTTTAAATGTTTAAAAATTATTACCATGTTCTATATATGGCTGTTTTGCTTGCATGTATGTCTGTGTGCCGCGAACATGCAGTGCCTACAGAAGCCAGAAGGTGTTGGATAACTCTGGAACTGGAGTGACTTAAGGGTGTGGACCTTCACGTTGGGGCTAGGAATTGAACCCAGGTAGTCTACACAAGTAGCCAGTGCTCTTAACTGCTGAGCCATCTCTCCAGCCCCCAAAGCATAGATTTTCCTAATGTTTACTGATGTTTATAGTAGCATTGTTCACAGTAGAGCAGCCCAGATGTCCAGCCAGGTGAGTGAGTGTCAAAATATGGGGCATTCACACATACAGTGTCACTCAGCTAAATTTGTTTTTTCTGATCTACTTTTTGAAAAATACCAAGGCTATACTCTTTGGTAGAATTACTGGATGCGAAAGAAAAATTTAAACTGTGCTGTATTTTACTGTATCTCAGTGTATTTTTTATCCTTGGCAGAGTGAATAGGTGAGGTTGGTTTGTCATGATCCACTCAGGGGCATTTGAGAGGGTGAAGAAAATGCTGGCACCATTGTGGGATGCTATTGGCATTCAGTGGACGGGGTCCAGGATGCTAAGTGTTCTGAGTACACAGCACGGCTTTGCAGGAGCATTGAGTATCCAGTCGGAGTGTCTTAAGCTTCATTAAAATACCATGCCTGGTGCTGTTTATTTCCTTGTTGTATTTACTGGTAAATACTGGTATCCAGGGTCCAGTGTAGCAAGAAAACTATATGGCTTCAAGCCCAATATTTGAGCTTGAATTGCTATTTTTGATCTCTATACTTCACTTTCCTGATCCTTAAAATGGGAGTGACAATGCCTGCCTCTAAGAGTTTTTGTTAAGAAATTAGGTCATGCAGGTAATGGCACATACCTGTAATCCCAGTGCTTGGGGCCTGAGTCAAGAAGACCATGGGTTTGAAGCTATCTTGGGCTACATCATAAGACCTTATTTCTAAAAAGGAACACACACACACACACACACACACACAAGATAAGATGGGGGGAGGTGGAGAGGAAAAGAGTGGGGGAGGGAGTCCTGAGTAGGCAGTGTTTAGCAGTTTAGCAGAGCAGTGTCTAGCACATCTGTGCTCCATGGGTGAAGTGTCTTGGTTTTTTCCTATATTGTAAATCTGCTGTAGTGTGTTTATTATTAGAGAAATGGTTCATAAATTTCACCTTTTTTTTTTCATTTTTTTCACCTTTTTTTTTTTTAATGAAGAAAATAGTAAACCTTGTGATGTCACTTACATGTATAGGGCATGAAATACAAAGATTAAGAAAATTATTTTTGAGCCAGGTGCAGTGGTGCACACCTGTAATCCCAGCACTCTGGGAGGCAGAGGCAGGTGGATCTCTGTGAGTTTGAGGCCAGCCTGGTCTACAAAGCGAGTCCAGGACAGCCAAAGCAACACAGAGAAACCCTGTCTCAAACAAACAAACAAACAAACTTACTTCTAAACGCCTTTAATCCTAACTTCTTACACTAACTCATCTGCCCTTCTTCTGTTGTGAAACACAGTGCCCCCAGATGCGCTGGAGCCAGCCACCCCAGCACAGAAGCCTCCCAACTCCGAGTGGTTGGACGGGACCCCTGCAGCAGAGAAAGCCGCTGCCTCCGCTCCAGCCACAGTTTTCAAAATGCCGCCTGAAAAGAGTTCTGGATGCAGCTAGAGCCCAGGAGCCGATGGGTGTTGAGACTTTGTACTGTACAGTCAGCGTTCTAATCGGCATTCCTGGTTCCTTCCACCACCAGGACCGACTCCTCTTCACGTGCAACAGTCACCTTTTCTTCTAGAAAATTATATTTGAGGAATCTTTTTTCTTATAAAATATTAGTTTTCCTTAAGGGGGTGGGGCAGCCTCTGCTGTATTCCTTACGTTGTTGTTAGCCCTCCGTTTATCTCCAGCTGCCTTCCGAGAGCTGTTGCTCCTTGGCAGCCATATCTTTGATCCTGGAAAACTAGTGACAGCTTTTGCATACCTTCTGTCTAGAGCTTTTAATATCACCGATGAAGTCTCAAATCCACAGCCAATTCTAAACACATTCCTGGACGGAATTGTGTCTATGCACTAAGGCTTGCCGTTGAGCCTTGATTCACTCAGTGCCGATAAGATACGTCAACCGAGTTCTCAGTTTGGGGCCTCAGGAAACAACAGCACTGTAGGATGGAGCATACTACCTACATGTGGTCTGAGGGGATCACCAGCAGCTGTGTTGCACTTGACCCCATCTTCATGCTCTGCATTCTCCTGACAGAGGGCACAGAGGTCTGCATGCTGCAATGCAGATGACGGTTTAGGTGCTCAGCAAAATAGTCAGTGGATGATGTTTGCTGTAGTGTTTCCGACCCTGATCTAAGGCTTTCTATTCTAAGTGGGACTTCATTGCTAGTATGTTATAGGTCAGTAACCAGCGTGCACTGTTACCTGTTATGATAACGGCTGGTTGGGGCCATGCTTTGGGAAGGAAAAATGTCTTTTTGACATGCCTTCTATGTGGCATGTTTGACTGCTTAGCCACATGTACAGTTGTATATACAGTTGTGCCTGAAGTCAATCCTACTTTGTCAAAGTGAGGAATAAGTGACTGCCTAGAGCTGCTGGGGGAAAGCCACATTATTTCCCAAAAAGTATTATCCAGAGCACCTGTCATTTAGGGTCTGGCCTGACAGAGTGCTTTTTTTTTTTTTTTTTTTTTTTTTTTAATATATACCAACTGAGTGCTTCTACTCTGAAATAACACCAGAGCTATGTGTTAAATGCTCACTGCTTTGGTCACTCGGGAGACAACACCTCTCTCTCAGACAGGTACCTGGTGGCCCAACAGGCTCCTTTTCCCAAAGTGTAACTATCCCTCCCACACAGAGTGTAATCAGTGTGTTTCCTGTGAGAGTTACATTCACTTGGGCAATGTAGTGAGATGGGCAGGTGGCCAGAGTATGACTGTTTGGAAAGGGGAACCTGAAGCTCGGTTTTCATAGATGTTGTGGACAGCTGAAAATGTATGAGCTGAGCATGGCAAGGATGGTGGAGGGAGGTGCAGAGAGCGAGCACAGGACGGAAGGGGTAACACCAAAGCCAGAATCACCCTGCTGTCTTATGGCTGTCACAGCTGCATCCACAAAAGATAGTGTGGCACTGTTACACGGTTAAGTGATGACAGTGGATGTGTGTGTCATGCATTCACACCCAGTTCCTGCAGTAGCCCATGGAACACATTTCTAGCATTCTGAGTCAGGTTAAGAGAAAAATCTACTGATAATGTTTTTGAAATTTTCCAAGCTGGTTCATGCAGACATTGGTTCTGCTGATGACTTGTGGACACCTCTACAGTTAGGTGCAAAGGCATTCCCATTGCTCACCTTTGTGGTACATTGACTGATTGTCCTCTTTCCTACTTAGGATTTCAAATACTTTGTGTATATTTATTTATTTGCATTTTAGATGTCTCTTTGAAGCAGTGGCAGTTTCCAGAGGTGAAGGCAGAGTTGTATACTTCACTCAGTCACGTTAGTAAGCCCATACTGAAACTACAGACATTGATGCTGTTCTGCCTTGGGTTAATCTGTTGTTTCTCATTGGTATCCCAAGTCAGCCTGAGGCCCATATCTATTTATGACTGTTTATCATCTTCCTTGGTCATGCATTTCTACACATTTTTGAATAGTTTTGACAGGGATCGCCCAAGATTGCAGCATCTACCTACCTATGATGAATGGGAATAAAGTTATTTACCGAGAAAATAGAATATTAAGCACACACATAGTTTCTAATACAGGGTTGTAAATTATACTCATTTTTAGGTGTAAATGCATGCTTAAGGAAGCCATTTATTCTGCTTAGTTTCTCTTAACCAGCTTCAGGGGCTAACTTTATGATCAGCTGTATTTTAAACCTTATATTTAATTTTTTTTTAAATGACACAGTGGATAATGTCATAAATTAAGATCTGCTCTTCAAGGAGAAATGTGGTTTTGCAATCAGGTTTTGTTGTCAGTATGAAGATCACCTGACAGACCTTAATGATGACCATTGATTGTGCTCATACATTTAATACCAGAATTAATGAAGCCAAGTGCCACAGTTCTGAGTTCCAGGTTCTGATATATCCTTATGGAGTGTATGGATGTTTCTCTGAATTTCACTGTTTATATATATATATATATATATATATATATATATATTTTTTTTTTTTGTAGCGGACAAAAGTCACATTATCTACTTGCATGAAGTCCATTCATAAGATGTTAGCTTTACCAAGAAGTTTGAGGGGATCTGAGATTATTTTTAGATGCTGTGTTTACAGGAAGAGTTGCATTTTATCAAAGCTTCTGGGTAGCTGGTTAGAGCTGATGAGAAGAGGAATTCAGTCCTGTTTACATGGTGCTACATTTGGAGGGGCAGAAACTAGTTTTTTCTGAACGGTGTGGTTTGGCCTTGAGTTCTTTAGAAATCAATTGCAAAGAAAAAATTTCAGATGACCTTGGCTCTTAAACAAGGTAGTTCTCTCTGCAAATGACCCAAAGTAAATAAAGCGTCTTAATCTGTGGTGCTTATGAATGAGATCTTTTATTAAGTAAAACTCAATGTAGAACAAGTATTTAAAATATCAGCCCTGAAAAGATTAAGCTTTGTATTTGGGTATGATACTAAGCATGTATGTATGTATGTATGTATGTATGTATGTATCTATCTATCTATCTATCTATCTATCTATCTATCTATCCCTCTATCATCTATCTATCTTTCTATGTATCTGTCTATCCATCTATCTAAAATTTCTTTCCATGGTCTAAGAAGTTCTGCTGCACCTGAGTTATCCTCACAGAAGCCATGCAGAGCTGAAAGTCATAGGTTAGGAGGAGCTCCGGGATGCCATGGTCATGGCTGGTGCAGTAGGTTCTTTGGCTCTAGGTAAAGTGTGCTAGGGATGCATGGTTCATTTAAGGTCTTTGTTCTGTTTTGTCATCATTACTGCGGTTCTGAGCAATGTGCTTTTTTCCTTTCCTTCCTGGGTTAAATGCCTCAGATACACTTCAGCAGCAGAAGCTGCATTCGGTGTCTTAGGAACCTTGTTTGGGCTGAGATCAGAGTGGCTGGCACTGGCGGACATGGCCGCTGTCTTGTTGGGAGCATAGCTTAGACATTGGGGTAGTGGAAGCATTCCACTGTTATCAGCCTCCTCCTTTGCTAAAGCTAGTTTTGCTTGTCAGCATTTCCTTATCTCCCTTTGCTGCAGTTAGAGTTACATTTGCTAGCAAGTAAGGATAGCTTCTTAACCTGTCAGAGAAGTGAAGTCAAGGCATGGGCCTGGTATTTCTACTACAGGCACTGCACAGAAGTGGCCAGGGATGTTCACTCCTGGGTTACAGTCTCAAAAAGAGGAAGACCTATGCCTGGAAATGTCAATGTGGAAGAAAAAAAAAAAGGAACAGTGATACAGAGGGGTGTAGATTATAGGTTTTAAAAAAGGAGCCCGGCAAAACAGATTGGGCAGATAGAGCACTCTTAAATATGAGGATGAGGTCCATGCTTAAAAATACAATGGTGTTCTGAGAACTGTCTAGCTTTGTTTCCTTAAACTCTAAATCTGTGTGGTTGTCTTAGCTCTCAATTGTTACAACCTTTTAAAACACTACACAACTTCTCTTTCCCATCTTAAAGACCAATTAAAACCACCTGTTGCCAAAAATGTCAGCATTACTAAATGACTATCAAGTCTCTTGATAGTGCAAGGCGTGGTGACACACACCCTCTCTAGGAGTTTGAGGACAGCCTGGTCTATATACTGAGTTCTGGGACAGTCAGGGCTATGTAGAGGACGCCTGTCTTAAAAAAAATTGTGATGGTGGCTCATGCCAGTGATTTCAGCAATGCCGTGGAAGAGGCAGGAGAATTTTAGGCTGGCTTGAACGTCATAGCAAGACTGTCTTTAACAAACAACTTTAAAAGCTTCCTATGGTTTTCATAATGCAAATGTTTTCTTTCTCTGCAGTGTAGTTTATGACCCTTGTAAATCTTGAAATGTTTTAAATTGAAGAATGAAAGAAGGTAGAGAATTTTTAAATAGCCTCCAGGTAGCTTTCCAAACTTACCTACATCTTATTCCTACCAGTGGCTGATGACAGCAGCTGAGCAAAGTGGTAGCACCCAGAATCATGCTAACGGTTCTTACTGCCCAGTATCTCAGCCAGTTCCCCTCCTAGTCACAGCTTTTGCAGTGCAGCCACTCCAAACTGTTAACTGCGGCCTCTCAGCGACTGATCTCACTCTTCCATCCATGACCATTCAGCAGTGTCCTCTGCCTCCCGGTCACACTCCCTTTCTTGTGCAAGTTTGTTGCTCTCAGCCCTCTTGATTTGTCATTGCTCAGGCTAGCTATGTATAGCCTCTTGTCAGACATTTTAGCATTTTAAAATGCTCAGAAACTTCCCACTTCAACCAAAATATCCTTTCTTGACTTTGGACCCCTGCCTACCACTGAAGTATGCCTCCTATCTGTGAATTCTGTTGTCCATTAAAGCTGGGGTTTTTAATCCTGGATAAACATGAGGATCAACTGGAAGTTTTAAAAGGGATGATGGTTGAGCAGGTAAAGGGCATTTGTCACCAAGCCCAGTGACTTGAGTTCTGTCCCTGGGACTCACATGGTAAAAGGAAAGAATCAGCCCTCATAATGTGTCTTCTGCTTTATATGGCCATGCCATGGCACATGTGTACACAATAAATATAATTTTCTTTTAATTAAGGCAAAACTGTTTTCAAGTGAACGTTCGGGCAAGTCCGTCCTATCTTTACTGTCTGATGCCTATGCATAATTGGATGAAAATCAGATGCACTATAGGA